TGCACTTTAAAGGAGGGGTTTGGGATATTGGCAGTTTGGAGGGATATGTTGTGTATCTTTATACGTATATGCTTCTAAACTGTTGTATTCTGAGCACCTCTGCAAAAGCAGTGATAATGTGTGAGTGTGGTGAAAGTGTTGAATGATGATGAAAGTATTTTCTTTTTGGGGATTTTCTTTCTTTTTTGGGTCACCCTGCCTCGGTGGGAGACGACCAACTTGTTGAAAAAAAAAAAAAAAAAAAAAAAAATATGTATGTGTAGTGTGACCTAAGTGTAAGTAGAAGTAGCAAGACATACCTGAAACCTTGCATATGTATGAGACACAAAAATGGACACCAGCAATCCTACCATTATGCAAAACAATTACAGGCTTTCGTTTTATACTCACTTGGCAGGACAGTAGTACCTCCCTGGGCGGTTGCTGGGGAGGTACTACCGTCCTGCCAAGTGAGTGTAAAACGAAAGCCTGTAATTGTTTTACATGATGGTAGGATTGCTGGTGTCCTTTTTTTCTGTCTCATAAACATGCAAGATTTCAGGTACATTTTGCTACTTCTACTTACACTTAGGTCACACTACACATACATATACAAGCATATACAATCACACATCCCTCTGGGTTTTCTGCTATTTTCTTTCTAGTTCTTGTTTATTTCCTCTTATCTCCATGGGGAAGTGGAACAGAATTCTTCCTGCGTAAGCCATGCGTGTTGTAAGAGGCAACTAAAATGACGGGAGCAAGGGGCTAGTAACCTCTTCTCCTGTACATATTACTAAATGTAAAAGGAGAAACTTTTGTTTTTCCTTTTGGGCCACCCCGCCTCGGTGGGATACGGCCGGTGTGTTGAAAGAGAAGAAGAAAGATAAATAAATAAATAAAAATATAAATACAGTGGACCCCCGGTTAACGATATTTTTTCACTCCAGAAGTATGTTCAGGTGCCAGTACTGACCGAATTTGTTCCCATAAGAAATATTGAGAAGTAGATTAGTCCATTTCAGACCCCCAAACATACACGTACAAACGCACTTACATAAATACACTTACATAATTGGTTGCATTTGGAGGTAATCGTTATGAGGGGGTCCACTGTATAAATACAGTGTTTGCAGTGAAACATATAAGTGAACAGTATTTAGATAAGGCTAAAGAGGTCTTTGTGACATTTATGGATTTGGAAAAGGCGTATGACAGGGTGGATAGGGGGGCAATGTGGCAGATGTTGCAGGTGTATGGTGTAGGAGGTAGGTTACTGAAAGCAGTGAAGAGTTTTTACGAGGATAGTGAGGCTCAAGTTAGAGTATGTAGGAAAGAGGAAAATTTTTTCCCAGTAAAAGTAGGCCTTAGACAAGGATGTGTGATGTCACCATGGTTGTTTAATATATTTATAGATGGGGTTGTAAGAGAAGTAAATGCGAGGGTCTTGGCAAGAGGCGTGGAGTTAAAAGATAAAGAATCACACATAAAGTGGGAGTTGTCACAGTTGCTCTTTGCTGATGACACTGTGCTCTTGGGAGATTCTGAAGAGAAGTTGCAGAGATTGGTGGATGAATTTGGTAGGGAGTGCAAAAGAAGAAAATTGAAAGTGAATACAGGAAAGAGTAAGGTTATGAGGATAACAAAAAGATAAGGTGATGAAAGATTGGATATCAGATTGGAGGGAGAGAGTATGGACTGGGAATTGCAGGCTCTACGCTATGTCTCCTCAGTGATTACCTTCATGGTAGATCTCTAAGGGTAGTTCTCAATGGAACAGAATCAGCAAGACATCCTATTGGGGCAAGTGTTCCACAAGGAAGTGTGCTGGGACCATTGTTATGGAATGTCTACTTCAACGACCTTCTTCATCTCATCCCAAAATCACATGCATATGCAGATGATTGTACACTGACATTCACTTAACCAAGAGAAGAAATGCCAGCTGCTCTAAGCTACATCAATCACCAGCTGAGAGCTATATCAGCTTGGGGAAATAGATGGCAAGTAACATTTGCACCTGAGAAAACGCAAATGATGATCGTCTCCAGGCACCATGATGGTAATGCTGGTGCAGTAGTAAGGATGAATGGGAGGGTGTTGGCACCTGGAGAAGAAGTTGATATCCATGGGGTGAAATCTGACCCCAAACTAACCATGAAGAACTATGTTGTAAATCTTGAAAAAAGGCAGCCAGGAAGCTTACAGCACTTCGCCGTATCTCGCATCTACTTGACAGTAGGGGTTGCAAGATTCTGTACGAGGCACAAGTACGCTCACACCTTAGTATGCTCCACTTTCTTGGTTTGCCTGCCCCCCCCTCTCATCTGTGACTGCTTGACAGAGTAGAGAACAGAGCAAGATGTCTCATCTCTCGCCTGGACCCATCCTGGATAAATCTGTCATTTCAGCAGAGCCTTCAACACAGGAGGGATGTGGGTGGCCTTACTGTTATGTACAAGGCCAATATTGTCAAAGTACCACACTTGGATCCACTTCGAGGACAGCGTGAAACAAGCTTTTATGCCACAAGACGGGCAGAAAGCAGCAACTTCACTCTGGCTGTACCCTTCTCCCGAACATCACTCCATCTAAGATCATACATACCCAGGATGACTCGAGTATGGAACACATTCGTACAGCATAATGATGTCAACGAGATAAAGTCAGTTGATCAAATGAAAATACTGGCCCACAGATGGCTCCAACTTCATCCTGTTCCCTACTTGTATGTCTCTTAACAATAAAAATGCTTTCAAATGAGCTGATGTAGGTAACAGCTCTTAGCTTGCCAATAAAGTTAGGAATCCTTAACCTGTAAATAGCTGTCAATAAAGCTAGGGATCCTTAACCTTGTCTAACCCTGTGTGAAAAAAAAAAAAAAAAGAGATAGAGATAGAGACAGATAGAGATAGACAGAGAGAGAGAGAGAGGGAGAGATAGAGAGAGAGAGATAGAGAGACAGATAGAGAGAGAGGAGGGGGGAGGCCCCACTTTACAGCACTTTATGCTTCACTAATGCTGAGGGGGGAGGCCCCACTTTACAGCACTTTATGCTTCACTAATGCTGAGGGGGGAGGCCCCACTTTACAGCACTTTATGCTTCACTAATGCTGGGGGGGGAGGCCCCACTTTACAGCACTTTATGCTTCACTAATGCTCAGGGGGGAGGCCCCACTTTACAGCACTTTATGCTTCACTAATGCTGGGGGGGAGGCCCCACTTTACAGCACTTTATGCTTCACTAATGCTGAGGGGGAAGGCCCCACTTTACAGCACTTTATGCTTCACTAATGCTGAGGGGGGAGGCCCCACTTTACAGCACTTTATGCTTCACTAATGCTGTGGTTTTCAATTATACTTGTTCTTCATTTTTTCAGATTTTCTACAATAAATATTCACCACTGTAAGCTAGGGATGAAAATATTTTAAGATACTGTATATACATTAAGTATACTGTATATACATTAAGTATACTGTATATACATTAAGTATACTGTATATACATTAAGTATACTGTATATACATTAAGTATACTGTATATACATTAATTATACTGTATATACATTAAGTATACTGTATATACATTAAGTATACTGTATATACATTAAGTATCCTGTATATACATTAACCTTTTCAGGGTCCAAGACCAAAATCTGAAGTGGTGCCCCAGTGTCCAAGAATTTTCAAAAAAAAAATTTATTTTTTTCTTATGAAATGGTAGAGAATCTTTTTGTCAAGGTAATAAAACAAAAAGTATGAAATTTGATGGAAAATTGACGAAATTATGCTCTCGTGAATTTTGGTGTGTCAGCGATATTTACAAATCGGTGATTTTGCTGACTTTGACTCCCATTTTAGGCCAATAACATTATTCCAGTCGACCAAATTCTTAGCTATTTCACTAGTATTACTTCTATTCTATCGATTGAGCACAAGAAATCGCCAAGTCAACTGTTTCAACTACAAAATAAAGTGATCGGAAATTTGTAATTTGGCCAATTTAACACAAAGTTCAAAATATTCCAATTTCAAAACAGGGTCCAGAATAAACAATGTAGGCATTCCTGGCACTAAACTAACATTTCCTCTGTTCATTAGTTACGTTTTGAGGCTTTACAAATAAATTCCATTTTGATTTTTTATTCACATAATGAATTTTTATTCACACCAAAAAATAGAAGATTTACTGTTATGCAATATTGTAATAATTGTATAAATATCATCACCACATTTGTGAATGCATATTAGACCCACCAGCTGACGTGTATTAGACGTGTGAGGTTGTTTGTTTACTCTTGAACATCGGCAAAAATTTAACATTTCTGCCACTTTGAGCTCAGTTTCAAGCCATTTCCAGTGCTAAAACCAATCAAAATTATCTCTATTTTTGTAGTATGTCTTCCATTCTATCAAATGAGACCAAGAAATCACAAATACAACTATAAAAAACATACGAAAAAGCACTGCAAAGTCGCTGTTTTAATAAAAAATCACGGTCTCAGCTTTTTTTCTCTCATTATACACAGTGTGCTGCAGGATTTGTTTTTTGTGGTGCACACATACCACATAGATGTATTCTCTCATATCTAGGCCCAAATTTACCACTCACAGTTTATTAGAGTGAGCTGAGCTCATGACGTAGATCTACGGTTTGGACCCTGAACGTAAAGCCGTAGATCTATGGGACGGACCCTGAAAGGGTTAAGTATACTGTATATACATTTTTTAGGCCTAGCTCTACTGCTCAATTAATATATGATAGTGTATGCATATTATCTGGCTTTAATATGCTTCTGAAGGTTAAAAAAATACTATGATTCAGTTTACAGCAGTACATAGCCTGGAACCCAACCTGCTGTATAAGCGAGACCCTCCTGTATTTATCACATCACATTCGACTTACGATGGGTTCGTCGGAATATAACTCCATCAAAAGTCAAGGAGCACCGTATTATCTTAACAGGTGGTGACCTATGAAATGCCTTAAAAGTGGATGCACATAAGAACGTGTACAGAACCTGTGTTAGCTTGCAGTGGTGGTTCTTCATGCGGTGACCCTCATCGATGATCATGTACTTCCAACGCAGCTTGTACAGCACTGCTTTGTCCTTTATAATATATTCATATGTAGTGAGCAGCACATTCAGCTTGGTCGCTCTCATCTGACTCTGTACGATGCGACGAACCTGAGGCGACCCTTTGTAAACAACCACCTGAACAAACATTAAGCTCAAATATTAATAATAATAAATGAATAATAATAATAATAATAATAATAATAATAATAATAATAATAATAATAATAATGGTACAATGGAAGTAAGTCTCTTGACTTTTTTTGATTATCTTTGGTAATTTGCAGATGTTAAATTAGGTATGATAATTGTAGTTATGTAAACTTGTACCTAAATAAACTTTCTTACTTCCATCTGCTGTACGACCCTTGATGGGTCACCGCTTCTTTTTGATTATAATAATCTTACATCCAAGTTCTAAGTGAAGCAAAGTTAAACAGAGGGGGGGGCTGAGGGGGGGTGAGGGGGGTGAAGGGGTGAGAGGGGGGGTGAGAGGGGTGAGGGGGTGAGAGGGGGGTGAGAGGGGGGGTGAGAGGGAGGGGGGGGGGGGGGTGAGGGTGAGAGGAGGGGGTGAGAGGGGGGGGGGTGAGAGGGGGGTGAGAGGGGAGGGGGTGAGAGGGGGGTGAGAGGGGGGGTGAGGGTGAGAGGGAGGGGTGAGAGGGGGGTGAGAGGGGGGTGAGAGGAGGGGGTGAAGGGGTGAGGGGGGTGAGAGGGGGGTGAGAGGAGGGGTGAGAGGGGGGTGAGAGGAGGGGTGAGAGGGGGGTGAGAGGAGGGGTGAGAGGGGGGGGTGAGAGGGGGGAGGGGGTGAGAGGAGGGGTGAGAGAGGGAGGGGGTGAGGAGGGGTGGAGGGTGAGGGAGGGTGAGAGAGGGGGTGAGAGGGGGGTTAGAGGAGGGGTGAGAGGAGGGTGGGGGGTGAGAGGAGGGGTGAGAGGGTGGAGGGTGAGAGGAGGGGTGAGAGGAGGGGTGAGAGGGGGGTGTGAGAGGGGTGAGAGGGGGGAGAGGGGTGAGGGGTGAGAGGAGGGGGTGAGAGGGGGTGAGAGGGGGGGTGAAGAGGGTGAGAGTGGGGGGAGAGGAGGGGTGAGAGGAGGGGTGAGAGGAGGGGTGGGTGAGAGGGAGGGGTGAGAGGAGGGGTGAGAGGGGGTAGGGTGAGAGGAGGGGTGAGAGGAGGGGTGAGAGGGGGGTGAGAGGAGGGGGGTGAGAGGGGGGTGAGAGGGGGGGTGAGAGAGGGGGTGAGAGGGGGGTGAGAGGAGGGGTGGAGGAGGGTGAGGGAGGGTGAGAGGGAGGGGTGGAGAGGGGGTGAGAGGGGGGGGGGGGTGAGGGGGGTGAGAGGGGGGTAGGGGTGAGAGGGGGGTGAGAGGAGGGGTGAGAGGAGGGGTGAGAGGGGGGGTGAGAGGGTGGGGTGAGAGGAGGGGTGAGAGGAGGGGTGAGAGGGGGGTGAGAGGGGGGTGAGAGGGGGGGTGAGAGGAGGGGGTGAGAGGAGGGGTGAGAGGAGGGGTGAGAGGAGGGGTGATGAGGGAGGGGTGAGAGGGGGGTGAGAGGAGGGTGGGGGTGAGAGGGGTGGAGAGGGGTGAGAGGGGGGTGAGAGGAGGGGTGAGGGGGGGTAGGGGGGTGAGGGAGGGGGTGAGAGGGGGTGAGAGGGGGGTGAGAGGAGGGGTGAGAGGGGGGTGAGAGGGGGGTGAGAGGAGGGGTGAGAGGGGGGTGAGAGGGGGGTGAGAGGAGGGGTGAGAGGGGGGTGAGAGGGGGGTGAGAGGGGGGTGAGAGGAGGGGTGAGAGGGGGGTGAGAGGAGGGGTGAGAGGAGGGGTGAGAGGAGGGGTGAGAGGGGGGGTGAGAGGGGGGGGTGAGAGGAGGGGTGAGAGGAGGGGTGAGAGGAGGGGTGAGAGGGGAGGTGGGAGGGAGGGGTGAGAGGGGGGGTGAGAGGGGGGGGTGAGAGGGAGGGGTGAGAGGAGGGGTGAGAGGAGGGGTGAGAGGAGGGGTGAGAGGGGGGTGAGAGGGAGGGGTGAGAGGGAGGGGTGAGAGGGGGGTGAGAGGAGGGGTGAGAGGAGGGGTGGAGGGGTGAGGGTGGTAGAGGGAGGGGTGAGAGGAGGGGTGAGAGGGGGGTGAGAGGGGGGGTGAGAGGAGGGGTGAGAGGAGGGGTGAGAGGAGGGTGAGAGGAGGGGTGAGAGGAGGGGTGAGAGGAGGGGTGAGAGAGGGTAAGGGGGGTGAGAGGAGGCGGTGTAAGTGAGGGGTGAGAGGAGGAAGTGAGAGGGGGGTGAGAGGAGGGTGAGAGGAGGGGTGAGAGGAGGCGGTGAGAGGAGGTGAAAGGAGGGGTGAAGAGGGGTGAGAGGGGGGTGAGACGGGGGGGGTGAGAGGAGGGGTGAGAGGGGGGTGAGAGGGGGTGAGAGGAGGGGTGAGAGGAGGGGTGTAGAGGGGGGTGAGAGGAGGGGTGAGAGGAGGGGTGAGAGGAGGGTGAGAGGAGGGGTGAGAGGAGGGGTGAGGGGGGAGGAGGTGGGGGGGAGCAGGGGGAGAGGAGGGGAGGGAGGGGAATTAGGTGAGGTAGAATGGTGTATGTGAGGGGTTCAAGTAGAGTAATATTAAATTATCATTATGAAAAACTGAATCTTTCTTTCACACCGGAGTATCCCACGAGGGGGGGTGGCCACGAGGCGGGGTGGCCCACGAGGCAGGGTGGCCACCGAGGCAGGGTGGCCACCGAGGCGGGGTGGCCCGAGGGGGGTGTCCCACCGAGGCGGGGTGGCCCACCGAGGCGGGGTGGCCCACCGAGGCGGGGTGGCCCACCGAGGCGGGGTGGCCCACCGAGGCGGGGTGGCCACGAGGCGAAGGTGGCCCACCGAGGCGAGGTGGCCCACCAAGGTGGGGTGGCCCACCAAGGCGGGGTGGCCCACCAAGGCGGGGTGGCCCACCAAGGCGGGGTGGCCCACCAAGGCGGGGTGGCCCAAAAGCAAAAATGAAAGTTTTGTCTTTTAAATTTAGTAATATATACAGGAGAAGGGTGTCACTAGCACCTTGCTCCCGGCATTTTAGTCGCCTCTTACAACACGCATGGCTGACGGAGGAAGAATTCTGTTCCACTTCCCCATGGAGAAGAGATTACATATATTTATTTATTTATTTATGGAAGTGTTAAGTGAGGGTTTAATGACTTTTGAATTACTGTGTTGGAGCAGAATACTAATGTGGGAGAAGCTGCTCTAGAAGGTTTGGTATAAGGTGGAATAGAGAGAGTAGAGGTAATGAGGAGGGAGTAGACGATGTATGGGGTAGATTTGTGAGTGAAAGATGGGAAGGTACCTAGGGACTGGAAGAGAACATGCATAGTTACCTTATATAAAGAAAAAGAGGATAATAAAATGTGAAAGAATTATGCAGGAATAAACCTGCTGAGTATACCAGGTAAAATGTATGGCAGAGTTATTGAAATAATAACAATTTGGGATTTTGTTGAGTACCTGTTCCATAAATAAAACAACAGCAATAAAGAAGAAACGCTGAGCTTTACGCTGAAATGTAACAGTGTGATTTTTTTTATTATTATTTATTAACACATCGGCTGATTCCCACCAAGGCAGGGTGGCCCACCAAGGCAGGGTGGCCCACCAAGGCAGGGTGGCCACCAAGGCAGGGTGGCCCACCAAGGCAGGGTGGCCACCAAGGCAGGGTGGCCCGAAAAAGAAAAACTTTCACCATCATTCACTCCATCACTGTCTTGCCAGAAGGGTGCTTTACACTACAGTTATAAAATTGCAACATTAACACCCCTCCTTCAGAATGAAGAAAGTGTAATTATCAGGATCATAAGCATTAGGAAAGAGATGTACTTGCAACTGTGGCTTGAAAGCAAGAGCAGACTCCTGACCTTTAACAGACACTGGCAACCCAGCAAACAACCCACCAGCTACATAACAGACACTGGCAACCCAGCAAACAACCCACCAGCTACATAACAGACACTGGCAACCCAGCAAACAACCCACCAGCTACATAACAGACACTGGCAACCCAGCAAACAACCCACCAGCTACATAACAGACACTGGCAACCCAGCAAACAACCCACCAGCTACATAACAGACACTGGCAACCCAGCAAACAACCCACCAGCTACATAACAGACACTGGCAACCCAGCAAACAACCCACCAGCTACATAACAAGATTCTTTCTGCAAAAAAATTTCTCCAAAAGCACAAGGTTCGATCAGTTTAAATGTACAGCAGCAATTCACAGAAACGTGCCTGACCCTCATACAGGAGGTCACCATTTGTATGGTTATAAGGTTTGCGGCCCCACATCATAAATTCATAAATGAAAATCATCAGTGGGTGGAAAAAAAGTTTTTTTTTTTTCATTATCGAATGCATCTAAAGTGCCTCAGAACATGTTTACACTATCATATATTAACCTTTGAGTGTCGCAAGCCCCTTTCAGAAACTGTCATTCTATGTCATAAAATTTTTTTGGAAAAAAAAAAAAATTTCTTATGAAATGATAGAGAATCTTTTCGGATGGTAATGACACCAAAAGTATGAAATTTGGTCAAAAACTCACGGAATTACTCTCCCGCGAAGTTAGCGATCTCTGCGACATATACGCATCAGCGATTTTGCCGACTTTGAGCCCTGTTTTTGGCCAATTCTGTTGTTCCACTTGACCAAACTCATAGCTATTTCTTTAGAACTCCATTTTTTCTATCAGTTAAGTACAAGAAACTGCCCATTTACCAATTTGAACTACCCAATAAAGTGGTCAGAAATTGGCAATTTGGCCAATTTCATGCAAATTAAAAAAGATGCCAATTTCAAAATAGAGTCCAGAATAAACACTGTAGACATTCTTGGCACTAAAATAACATATCCTCTATTCATTAGTCACGTCTCTAGGCCCCTCTTATATTACTATTGCTTTCTATTTTGATTTTTTATTCATACAAAAAATACAAAATTTACTGGTATGCAGATTACTGCATTATTGTAAAAATGGTATAAATAATATGTAAAGTAAAAGGACACAAGTGCAACTAATGTGACATTTTATTGTGGCAACGTTTCGCTCTCCAGGAGCTTTATCAAGCCATTACAAACAATACAAGGACACAGAGGGTATATATAGGCTCAGAGTGAGGTGCAATACTAGTGGTAGTAG